CTTGGTATTTCATGGTTTGAATGAACAAACATCTACACCAGTAATTTTACTTTACATTCGAAACTACTTGTAAGTAGTATAAATTTATTCTAACATTTTCATAACATAATTGACAAATCGATCAAGAACCATTTTGATCACAAAGAATTTCCAGTTTCTTCAAGTGAGATTTGATTTCCTCAAAGAACAGGCAATCACTACAATTTCCATTTTCTCAGAAGATTTCAAGTCCATATTGTTCTATTGGATAATATATGCAGTTTTTTCTAATCATTTTTTCACAAGGACTGATAAACAGTAGAAATTTATTCATAAAATTAGCTGATTACTCGATAATAATCAGTGTTACATTTTCTTTTGTTCAACAGTACAAATGTCACAAAACACATACCAATAGGAGATTTCTTCAACTTGCCTCACTAACCATTTTACACAAATCTCATTTTTAAATTGTTTACTCAAGTCTCTTCTTTAATAATATTAATAGACCATAATTGTTATTTTCTACAAGATGATCAGAAACGAATTAGTTTATATGGATAGGTTAGTGTAGTATCACGAATAAATGGTAGATAGAAGGAGGATCTATAAAGTTGAACCTTAATATAGATTTCATGTTATCTCTATGAACTTTTAGGTATAGTGAAATGTGACACTGTAGTGAACAAGAACGTGAGTGGAGACAATCGAATGTCTTTGACACGAAATCACAGAACATTTCACTAAAATCTGACGATCATATAGTAAATAGTTAATTTGCAAAATATCAATCCATCATCGCAAACATGACTGTTCCTTTTACAAACATCAGTCCATTGTCTCAGATTTCATTGTTTATGTATTTTCATAACAATTGTGTTCCGTTCCCGTCCTTTCCTTATCAATATTTTGCTGAAGTACATTATGTGCCTGACCACCATTATATACTACTTATATGAATATAAGTAACGCACACCACAATACCACTTCAGGTGAAGGGAATCCGTAGAGTTGTCAATCTTTTAAGGCCGACCTTTTCTAATTCGCTTATAGGAAGGCAAAAGTGCTGTACGTGCTGGCCGTCTGAGAGATTGACCTCATTATCATCATATCCTGGTGCAATCAGAAGTACAACATCAACCTTAGGTCTCTGTTTTTATTCTTGCACTTCCGCTAATTACGGTAAGACTTAAATAACCAAGTATTCCGGCTAATGCGGCTCTATCAGGTTATCAGTGTAACCAAACAAGAACTTCAGTACAACATAAAAGCGATGGTAGGTTAGAAGAAGCTACAATATTGCACGATGGTCATCCAATGGGATCGATGCCAACTATCTTAGTGTTTACATTATTTAATTCGTAATTTCTACTTGTGTGAGTGAAGAACAGTCAGATTGAGTTTTCTTGTGGGTGTTTTTGTCAGTCAGCCTAAGAATCTAGACGAAAAACTAATGGAAAAAGAGAATGTATTCAGTTTTTATTGAATTTATGAAGGTTCAAGTATGTTGTCAAAACTTCTGTCGATTTAAACAAGACTGTGGTATCGAACGAATGGCTGAGGTTATCCTCAGTGTTTTCAGTATTTAATAAATGTAGTAGAATTTCTCCTTTCATTCATTGGGATAGATATATACTTAGGAGAGACTGTCAAGTTGTTGTACTGAATATCAACAACAATATAACTGAAGTCACTTACTTATTATAATATCTACTTAAATTGATTCTGTATAAAATTCAAAAGTTAATCTATCCTATAAGATGATGTCACTTGTAATAAATAGTAGTTGTCTAAAGTTTGTGTGTTTTATCGGTTTCAACTATGATTGAATCGCTTAACTTATATTAATTTAAATAAAAGACAAATGTACAAACAATCACCTATACGTGTATACATATCACACAACTGAAACATCAATACTGGAGTAGCACATCTCGTAATATTAATTATGTATATGTGTCTATATATACTAATAGACTATTAGTTGGTACTATTGTAAGGTTAATAGATTCATTCTGGATACATCTAAAATTATGTTATATGAAACAGTTCAATTTAGTGTTCATTTAAGTTATCCAGTGAATTTCAAAATGTTGAATGACATTTTAAAATATAGTCATGTGAATTTTATAATCTAGACAATATATCTCATTTTATTATGAATAAATTTGTTGGACTATTCATTATAACTGAGAGAACAGTATTTTAATTAATCGCGCAATTTCGTGGATTAGTTAAAGTTAGACATTAACACCAATGGATGCTAGCTCATTAGTCTAGCCCCAAAATGCCCTGGTACTCCCGAGAGTGGGGAGAGTCCGCTCTCCCTCTTCAAATACTCCCACATGGCCACGCGTATATAGCGTCTGCCAGGGAAGTCCTACTCACTGCCTTCTCTCACCGGAGTGTTGTTTACGAAACTAAGAGGACGAAAAGCGAATATATGGCGCTTTAACCGGGTTGGTGGACATGGAGAGTTCACGTAGGGGAGTTGGAAAACCCTCATTCCAAACCAATGGTGCACATGGGCTGGCTCCAGTATCCTGAAGGAACAAATGGCGTATGGACCAATCGTTAGTCACTGGCTGCCATGGGACTGAATCTCCTTACGACGCTCCACTGCCTCGTGGATGAGACCTTCAGGTCGAAGGCTCCGGGTGTGGCCCCTTAAGAAGACCACCTGCCTCGGTTTGGCCACCCGGGCAGTATCACAGCCCTCACACATATCAAATGAGATTTGTGTAGCGCATATGTATTTGGTGCATCCTTGTACCAATATGTATTTGTTAAAATAAATAAATATTCTGGAGGTTAAGCATTCGCATATGAGACAGAAGGTTCTGCGTTCGATTCACAGGTGTGGAATCGTGAATGTGCACTGCTGAAGAGCTCCATACTGGGACGAAACGGTCGTTCAGTCCTTCCAAGCCCCCAATAGTAGTCTAACATTGATCGATTCCTGATCTCAGCCAAATAATCGCAAGTGTTTATGTTATTCTATCATCGACATTTATAACTGAATTTTTCTCAGTCATGGTTCGAATACGTGGATCTTGAATGGATTTAATGTTGGCGTCAGATATTAGGTTCGAATTACGTTCGAATGTAACAAACTGAGATGTGAAGTATACCCAGTTCGAAATATGGTAAGACATGTGTTTCTGATTGCGCCACTAACCAAAATTCATTATATATGTTCCAAAACTTGTTACGAAATGGACGTAGAGACGATGTGCCCAGGTTGCATATATCTCAACATAGATTGATCAAATTCATTCGTAATTATTACTAACGGGACTATATATTCTATGACAACTAACGTACTTGGGGAACTAGTTATCAGGTATTGTGACACAAAAACTTAATGAACCACATATTGGTATCAATTAATTGGTTTGAGCTTCAGTTTGAACATGAACATCATGGAATACAGGTATATCTAGACCGAAATACGACAAAAACTAGTGTCCTTGATACCTCTCTTAACCAAAATCTAGAATATTTATAAATTTAGATGGTGAGACTACAATTTATGGACGACTTTTGAGCGATGCTAGACTGACCTTGACAGTGTCCATCTAATATCTAGGATCAAATGACGGTTATAAACCAATATGAGGTATTAGAATTATGATTTACAGTTGATAGTTAGGGTCAGGAATCAGATTTAAGGTTTTCACATCACGAACTGACATTAGCTATAATGCCAAGACGCTATTTATCCAAATAGATGAATGAATTTCGCGCCGAAATTCGAGATCTGTTATCTTATACCTGATTGGTTCGTCCATAAATTATAGTCTTGCCGAATTAAGTTTCATATTTATCTATTCGTGATGTGAAAACCTTAAGTCTAATTCCTGACCCTAACTCTCAACTGTAAATCATAATTCTAATTCCTCATATTGGTTTATAACCGTCATTTGATCCTAGATATTAGATTATTATTATTATTATTATTATCTGCTTTATTCAATATTATATTTTTGGTACAATATAGAATTCTCAGCGTAAAGTATTTCGACAAGTTTCCGTTTCTTTCTTCTTGGTCGGTCCTGAAGATAAATATTAAGTGATCGCCAGTTAGATGTTAGCAGTTCAGTGAATGAACATCTGAATAATGTGCATTCTTTTCGTTGTATATTGCCAGCAACCACATTGTCTCTTATTGAGTTTTTTGTAACTTTGACAACGAAAGGTTGTACACTTTTCAGAAACGCAGCAGAATAGGTTATGCGATTAATAAACATAATGATATATTAAAACAAACAAAAATAGATAACTTGTTGAAATATCTAGATGGCAGGAACAGGTAGCCCAGATGCTCAGGCAGGCTGCCCTGTCAAGGTCAGTCTAGGGTCTCTCAAAGGTCGTCCATAAATTATAGTCTCACCCTCAATTCTATAACTTTTATGAATCATAACATCTATAAATTATCAATGACTAATCCATATTCTCGTGCACATAGAATGTAACAAGTAAGAGAGAAATGAAACACATCTATGTTTGCATATATAAATGTAATCACTTATTTTTATACATAAAACAGGTATGTTCACTCTCTTCATCTCCTTTGTCTGTATATATTTACATATACAAAATGGAATAATCTGTCCAATTTTGACTAATAATAAATAGTTAAGTGTTATGTCACTATGTGTACACATACATAATTTGTGTTGCTATCTCTATTTCTCTCTCTCTCTCCCTCCCTCCCTCTCTCTCTCTCTTTCTCCATTTATTTTATACAAGCCATAGGTATATAAATATTGAAAATTGTATAGATTTATGATTCATACGAAGTAAATTTATATTCTCAAGTAGTCCAATGTTACATAACACTTACATACAAGTGTTTCTGATTGGTACTTTACTTAAAATACACATAATAGATAAGAATAAGAATAAGAATATCAGTGATAATGATCAAGTCTTCAATTCACTTGTTGAATTGTCAAATATAACTCATTGAAATCATCTTATTCTTATTAATTTATATCTTGGATTAGTTCCAACAACAACAACAACAACAACAACAACAACAAAATGGTTTAATAGTTCATTCCAATTATCATAATCATAATGAATGATACATTAAAACTATTCATTATCACTTTAATATGGTCCCAGTTAACATTAAGTCAATTGAATTATTGTTTAAAACCTATTGGATGTTATCATGATGAATGTTGTTTTAATATTATACCAAAAACTGGACCAATATGTGATCCGATCCCTGGATGTGTTGCTAATTTTCAACCAGATTGTTGTAAAAATAGTCGATCTATACATACAGATTATGGTATTATGTATGGTTATGCTATTTCATTGGATAATGAATATGGATATCAAGAGAATGGGAAACGTTATATTCAGGTAAGATTAAGTAGAAATAAGCAAATAAAATATAAATCAGAATGGGGAATTGTGGAGATTGTAGTAATTTTCATAGTTGAATTTATGAGTCGATTTAAGCTAGACTACTATTGAAAAGTGGATCAGTAAAGCAAGAGCAATATATTTACAACTAAAGAATATCTGGAACTCGAAACAACTGTCAACCAACACCAAGGTCAGAATTTTCAATACAAATGTTAAAACAGTTCCACTATATGGGGCGGAAATCTGGAGAACTACGAAAGCCATCATCCAGAAGATACAGGTGTTTATTAACAGTCGTCTAAGCAAAATACTTCCGATCCGTTGGCCAGACACTATTAGCAACAACCAACTGTGGGAGAGAACAAACCAGATCCCAGCGGAGGAAGAAATCAGGAAGAAGCACTGGAAGTGGATAGGACACACATTGTGGAAAGCACCCAACTGCGTCACAAGACAAGCCCTCACATGGAATCCTCAAGGCCAAATGAGGAGAGGAAGACCAAAGAACACATTACGCCGAGAAATGGAGATAGACATGAGAAAAATGAACAAGAATTGGATGGAACTAGAAAAGAAGGCGGAGGACAGAATGGGTTGGAGAATGCTGGTCGGTGGCCTATGCTCCATTAGTAGTAACAGGCGTAAGTAAGTAAGTAAGTAACTATTGAAAACCTGGAAGCTTTGGAAGGACGTCCTATCGTAGGACTCAGTAGTGCGCACTCACGATCCTGCACACGGGACTCGAATCCAGTGCTTTCAGGTTTTCAATCATGGTCTAGCTTAGATCGACTCATAAATTCAACTATGAAAATTACTACAATCTCCATAAATCCCTATTCTGATAATAATCATGCGCTCGCTATTGACTAAATTCAAGAGGAATTTCCTGGAGTTCTAGTGATGAGTCGTGACCAGTGGAGCGCAGTCCGTGTCGGGACATCTACTTCAGACAATAGATGAAAGGTTGAGTAAGATCATGAATCGATTGAAGTTAGACACCAACACCGTTGGATACCGGTTCAGTGGTTTAGAGGTTTAACGTTTGCGCATAAGACAGAAGGTCCTGAGTTAGAGTCCTACAAGCAGATTTGTGGGTGAACACTTCTAAGGAGACCCATACTAGGACAAAACAGCCTTCCAATGCTTCTAGGTTTACAATGGTAGCCTAACTTAAATTGACTCATAAATTCAACAATTAAAATATGGATCGAATGTAAATTTTACACTGGTCGATTAATTTGTAAAGTTTTATCATACTATTGAATGAATTATGACCAGAATAGAAACTTTCCAAATTACTGAGTAACATTCGAAATAAGAGATACTGGCTAACATGGTTTGATTACTTAATATTCAATGTAGACACGTAAACTTAGTAGTGACATACCTAGTAGTTCAGGTCACTTTTCCGTTCACTTAGCTGGTGAGTCCTGCTTGTAAGAGCATAATTGAAAAACTCCAACATGTACTGTTTATTTTTCTTTACCCAATATGTCTGACTGTGTAACAATGGATATGTTCAGTATAAACCTCTAATGATACTGCCTGTATTAAATGCTAGAGATGAATCATAGTTATTTATAAGTAGGATCAGTATAATTATATTATTTAAAGAGGCTTGTAGGCTATATTCTATTAAGTTAGTTTCTCTATAAAGCACATATTCATACCATATTGACTGGACTCTTCATGAAATATATAGTTTTGTACGTATACTTTGAGTCGTTGGCAGATAAATCCTTAATGATGCTAAGTTTCTTTATATATATCTCTAAGCGGATTCGGACAGTGACGGTCAGTGAAATACGCGATGCACATCATGCCTTATTAAGGACTAGTCAGCTAGATACACTTGCATCTCAGTGTGTTGATGCTCACCTTGAGACTCGAGTGGCATGAGGTTTGAGTCCTGGAGTGAACATCAACACACTGAGATGCAAGTGTATCTAGCTGACTAGTCCTAAATAAGGCAAAACGTCAACTATCTCTAAAATATAAGATGTTGTCATTATACAGTGATCGTTTATTGTTACTGGTTGATCAAAAATAAAGATTTGAGGCACCAACTTTCGACTGAATGACTGGAATATATCATACTCATTATAAGACTTGAAAATCTTAGTTTTGACCCAATATAGAGTAGTGTTTGTATCTACTTAAAGGTCACGTGTCTTAAACTAGCACAGAACAACTTCCAAATGCTCCATATTTCTTCTTAATTCTTCAGATGATGTCTGTTTATGATGAAAGGCATTCTTAAGCTATACAAAACGTCTAAAAATCCATTTAGCTTAATATATGCAAATATATGCAATAATCTAATGAAAATCTATACATATTAATATGATATTGTACATCATGAAAACCGAAAATTAATACAAATCAAACTAACATTTTCCATAACTATAGATTGTATGATATGGCTTACATTAAACTAGACAGGAAACCCACTTTAATCTATCAAATGAAATTTGTCATTTATCTCATTTCATCGAAAGTATTATCAAGTATTGATTAAAAATATTCAAAAAGTATACTGATAAGATAGACAATCCCACAAAGCGGGGTCGTGGATGTTCACTGCCGAGGAGTCCCACAATAGGACGAAACGGACGTTCAGTGGTTCCAGGTTTTCCATGATGGTCTAGTTTCCATTTACTCATGATCACAACTATTGAAATTAGACAATATGATTCAAGAATAATAATTGTTAAAAGAATTCCACTTTCATCATCATTAAATTAATTGATTTTTCAATAGAATACTAGTACATAAAGTAATATGTAAAAGACAATTAAAGTTGAAGAACAGTTTGACTTAACTTTTGTATTACATTAAAAAACAATAAAGAAGCCGTCTAGATAATACTGACGATAAGGGAGTTTATCCTTTCTGTATAAATATTGCTAAGACATGTGTTATATATATATATACTTAACCAATATCTATCTTGATAGGTAATATTAATTGGTATAGGAGAAAGTTGAATGAAAGTTAGAGCCAGCTAAATTGAAATTTGTCAACAGTTCACAAGTTCATTAACCATTGGTTTGATGCATGTTGATAGATGTAGAGGATCTGGTTGAGATGTGTAAGATGATATTGGGTGATATGGCTCAGAATTAGCCGAAACTCTGAATAGAAATTTACCCTATCTCTTTATCTTAGATCTTGTTATCCAGTCTTCTTTCATATTCTGTCATTTCAAACTAAATAATTTCAGAAACTTTATTTGGGTTCCTTTGATATTGATCTAGTTAATTTCATCCTATTTGGTATGATAAATTAGGCCATGGTAGATTTGTATTAGGCTCTACGTTAATTATAACTAATAGATAAAAGTATTCAGTATAATCGCCGTTAAATGACATTCACATGTTATATTCTAATACATTACCTGTGTAATATTTGTCAGAAACAACTATTATAAGTTGGGCAAATTAAACGAGTATCATACCATGTTTAGTTTAATAATTCTATATTTTAATCAGAGAGGGGTTTTGTGGAGATTGTAGTAATTTAATAGTTGAATTCAATCGATTCATGAATTGAACCATTAAATTATTACAATCAGTACAAAACCTCTCTCTGAATATAATCATCATATACTCACTAGTAACTGGTTTCAAGAGGTATTTCCTGGAGTTCTAATGAGAAGCCGTGACCCCTGGAGTTCAACCGGGTCTGTTGTGAGATAATAACTCACTGATGACAGTGGTGGATGTGTCTCTCAATTTGGTGGATTAGTTGAAGTTAGACATTACCACCGTTGGATTCCAGTCAGCCCAATGGTCTAGAGGTAAAGCGTTCGCGCGTGAGACTGATAAGCCCTGGGTTCGAATCTCGCGAGACAGGGTCGTGAGTGTGCACTTCCAAAGAGTCCCACACCAGTGTATCCAGGTTTTGCATAGTGGTCTAGCTTCAATTGACTCATGAATTCAACTGTTAAATTCTATATTTGTTCAGTAACTTATGAAGGGAAAATAATTTTCTTCACATTCCGATGTCAGTTGAGAAACTATCAAAAGCAGAGAGTGCACCGTTTCATGTTTCATTAATGTTTCTGTATATATTACATATAAGGTACGACTTCATACTGACTGAATCAAATCTATATGTTTTATGATTTAAAATGAACTCCATCTAGCTGTTAAGTTGAAATGAATTCACTCATTTTAGTCAGCTCATTTTTAAATAACATACATACATACTTACTTTTTTTGATTAGCGTTTTTTAGTGATTTAGTTTTCTACGGGATGGGGTCGCTAACCCCATGTCCAACTCTCCTCCTTTACCCGGGCTTGGGACCGGAAGTAACTCTAGAAGAGCTCCAGGCGGAGTTAAATAACATACTCTTCACTAACAATCCTAAATTATTGATTATATTGTAGTTGATATGATCAAAGAATTGTTTTCCTATTGTAGGCTTCTATACAATATGGAATTGGCTTGTTTAAACTATTAGATTCTTTAATATAATAATAATTTGCTTCTTGTTATTTAATATGGAATTGTGATGTGAGCTACTTATATCCACATAAGTAGTATATAACGATGATCAGACATAGAATGTATTTCAGTGGAAGATCGAAAGGGAAAGAACGGAAACAGAGAGCAATTGGTATTGAAATGCATGAACAATGAAATCTGAGACAATGGACTGATATTTGCGAAAGGAACAGTCATTTTTGAGACAATTGATTGACATTTTGTAAATGAAGTATTTACTATATGGTTCTCAGATTTTAGTGAGATGTTCTGTAATTTCATGCCCAAATATATTCGGTTGTCTCCACCCATGTTTGTGTTCACTATAGAATGACATAAAAGTACATTATCTTGGTGGATGTACTAGGAAACTAGATTGTTTAAAATGTTATCATGATCAAGGTCATTTGATCAAATGGTCATCAGTAGTTATAACATTCATTTTAGTTGAAGGGATTTTATAAAGGTTTACTAATTCCATTATTAACCACAATTCAGCGTTTATAAAATTTTGTTTAAATGATGATACAGAAGCATTTCAATTGGAATATATACATATATATATACCAATAAAGAGTAGTTAGTCGTTAACCATAAGAGAACATGAACCATTACAAGTAATTTTATTGTTTGTTTTCTATTTTGTTTTCGTTTTGAGATGGTAGAGAAGATTTTCAGCTCAGGTGGATGATTTCGGTGGAGTTTCGTTCTCTGAGCTGGATGGCATGGTCGGGGAGCTTTCACCGTTCTTCTGAACGACTTCTATATCAAGTTTGTGCTGATGATATCGTTCAGAAGAACGATGAAAACTCCACGACCAAACCATCCAGCTCAGAGAACAAAACTCCCACCAAATTGTTTTCGTTTTCTTTTTCTTCTCTTTTCTTCTTTACTTTTTTCAATAAGATATGGAAAGGAATACCATATGCAAAACCACCAACACAAAAGAATAATTTAAGATTTCATCGACCTATTCCACCAATTCATTCTAATGAAAAATATGATGCAACTTATTTTCGATCATCATGTTCTCAACCAAATTTCAATACATTTAATGAATGGTCAAAATATTCCTATGAATGGTATAAACATTTTACATTAGGACAAAGGAATCAAGAAGGATTCAATGATCATGAAGATTGTCTTTATTTAAATATTTATAATTTATATGAAACAGATATTGGTTTAAATTATAATAATAATAATAAACAATATCCAATTATTGTATTCTTTCATGGTATTGATCATTTAATTGGATCAGCAAATTATTATCCTGGACATGTTTTAGCCCAATTAGGTTTAGTTGTGATTACAGTAAATTATCGATTAGGTCCATTTGGTTATTTAGCTATAAATAAATCATATTTACAAAAGAATATTCATATGAATGATATTAGTGATCATGATGTTGATGTTGATGTAGATGTCGATGTTGATGATGATAATGATGAGGAAATATTAATGGGAAATTATGGATTATGGGATCAAATTAGAGCATTGGAATTTATTCATGAACATGCTGATAAATTTCAAGGTGATCGTAATCAAGTAAGTTTAGTGTTTCTAAAATAAAACTTTTTTTATTATTTAGATTATTAAATTTAATAAAAGGAACTAGATAAATTTGTGAAAGTTATTCAATATGATATTACTTTTTAACACTACGTGAACTTAATAATGGAACGATTGAAAAGTAAAAGAAATCGTCGTACAGAAGTTGTAAATCTGTGGTAGGAGTTTACTTTTGTTATAACTTGTGGCTTGTGTATCCTGTTAATCGTTCCGTCCTACTTTATGGCAGTGAAACATGGCCGGTAAGAGTAAAGGATATTCGTAGGTTACTAGTATTTGATCATAGGTGTCTTCGAAACATTGCTCCTATATCCTGGGACCATCGAGTAAGTAGTGCAGTTTTTAGGAAACGGGTACTAGGTAAGGATGGCAAATCGATTGATGAAGTAGTGAAACTTGATCAGTTGAGATGGCTGGGACATGTGTTACGTATGCCCAACCACCGACTGCCTCGACGTGCGATGTTTTATGGTGTAGGAGTAGGTTGGAAGAAAGCCAGGGGCGGCCAGATCAAAACATGGCACAAGTCCATGAAGTCACTGACAAGTGGACTGAGCCATGTTGGTAGGTGTAGACTACCTGGTTGGGGACCGCGAGATGATAGCAACCGATGGTTAGAGACCTTGAATGACATGGCTCAAAATCGTTTGCAATGGCACAGGTGCATCCACTCTTTGTGTTTCCCCAAATTCTAATCTCATGAATCCTCCTTGTCTCTTTTTTTCTCTTCCCAAATCTATTTCACTGGATTATACTCTTTAAATAACATCTCCAAACCCTAATGTTTCCGATTACTACTTATACTCTTACTACATCTACCACTGTGGGATTGGAATCGATAATTGTATCTATGTGCTAATGTGGTATGGCAACTCAAACTGACATACGTAGGTACGAAGTTCTATGTTGTTACTGGCTGACTGACCCTGTTAATGTATAACGTGATAATACTGTCAATTAGAGAACAGTAAATTATCGATCGGACCAATGACACATAAAAGCTGTGCGAGCAGTCTAGAGTACTTATCGGTCCTACTTCCTGCCTAGCTCAGCTAGTTAAGTCCAGAACGCCAATCTAAACCTCTGCGATATGAATCATTTATTTCAGACATACTGGGCTTATATACCAATCAAACAGAACACATCGTACCATAAAATGGAAAATAACATTTGTACAAGATCTAGCCAAAAGTGACTGTGAATGTGAGAGACATTAATTAATAAACTGGACATAACTTAAGAATGGTAAATCGTATAATAATAGTGCATAGATCAAAATAAAGCTCATAATAAGAGGGGAATGAATATAAATAGTTTAGTTATTTGACAATTATACGATAAAAATGTACGCATAGTATTGGTCCATAAATGGATCCCAAAAGTTACTATTCATTATGCTTATCGGGATATAACAACTCCAAACTAAACAAACTCCACAAATTAAGTTGAAGGTGTTTTGTGGTGATTGGTTCTAATTTTTAGACTGTATCCGTCATAGACTGATCTCATTTGAGGTACCACTGAAAAACAGAGTGTATTGGTTTGTAATTTCATACCAGTATGGGAATCTTCAGCTCTGTACTCTAACGAACTCACTGGGAATCGAAACTATAATATTCAGATATCATGGCGAACAACTAATCATTGGAACCACTATGTTCGACTCCAATAAATCAATATGAACCTCAATGAATTTGTGATATAGTGAGATTATTGTCCAATGAGAGTGGGGACAATTTTTCACTCCGGACATGCCTGCTCACTTGTCTGTTATTTTCGAAAGGTACTTGCTTGTTCATGTACGTTACGTGTTTTTTTTGTGTCCTTTACACAATAGATCACTGTAATTGGTTATGGTTCAGCTGCTGCTGATGTTGCACTACATTTATTGTCAGAAAAATCAGGTCGTAGAAATCCACCATTATTTCATCGTGTTATTCTTATGTCCGGATCTGATCAAATGGAAGGTGGTTTTGTTCAAAATATCAACGAATCGGAGGCATATGCTAAACAGTTGGCTTATCAGGTAAGTATTATAAAGCTTCATGAGAACGAGTGTTTAACGGTGAAAAGTGTCCCTGTAAGAATACATCGATCAATGAATATTTCGCTGTAGTATACTGTAGTCGACCTTTTGGTAGGGGTAACATTAAAATAGTTCCGATCGTTTGATTTTTTAGGATTTTAGAGTTTACCTTGTGGTTTTAAATGTAACTGAAAAGTACAGGAAATACTGCCGATACCAAAAACCAGTTTGTTGTAGGTTTCTCGTCTATTTTAGCTTTTTTTAAACTGTCACTTTCGTCATTATGAAGTTGGTTATTCATCAGGTATAAAACATACACTCTATCTCAAAAATGATTAATGACGATAATTTCATTATTAGCTTTATTCTTGTTTACTTCTAAATGAAAAATTATCCGGATACATCATCAAATTAATCAAAATATTTTGAGTAAATCTACTTAAGCCTAACGTAATTTATGCCTAGGTAGTGACTAATCCATGTTTGTCTGATCTTTAGTTCTAATCTAACTCTATCTGTCACGTTGCAATATCCCGATGTGGTGTCACATGCAGTATGTTTTAATGTGATCTGGGTTCGGATCAATCAAGAAGTATCAGTTCCCTTGAGACTACAGGTACATCTTCGTGACGATCTCTAACTGACACAAAGCTTACATTCAGTCTCCTGGATCCTCCAACCAGTGAACACCTCAACAAAACATACACGTTGTCAAGTTACTCCGGCTGGTAGGTGGGACATTATAACTTGATCAATAGAACTCAAGCAGCAATAGCGGGTTAGATAAGCATATTTTTCGTTATTAAGGAAACTTGGTGCATATTTATGAGTTACATGATTATTCAACAATGAGCCGCGATGCCGTGATGTAGTCGGTACATAATCGATCTTAAGAAAATCTAGCTTACTGATCTAAAAGTTGAGTATCTACTAAATTTTTCATTCGGCTTAGCAACACTGTATTGAAAATTTTGTCTGACACTGACAGCAGTGTGGTACTTTTGTAGTTCTCATACTGAATAAAATCTTTTTTGAGTATTTTGACAAAGCATCAGTCTTTTCTGTCTGTCGGAACTTGTTCTACCTCCTAAATCTTTCTGAATAGAACGTCGAGCATCTTTTTAGTTACGTTTATGTCTGACTTCAGTGGTCCAGCTGGTATTTTGTCTGATCCTGTTGTTTTCTCACTCTTAGTTTGTTCGATGGCCATGTTAATTCCTTTGACTGTTGGTGGGGTGACATCCGTAGGAAACTCTGTATGTACAGTTTTTATGTACGATGGGTTCAGTCGGGTCGGTCTATTCAGGAGTTATTTGAAGTGTTCTACCCACCTGTTTTGCTGTTCTTGAACCTCAGTGACTAGTTTGTCATTTTTATTCTTGACTGATCGCTCTGGTTTACTATATTTTCCATCTAGCTTCTTCGTCGTATCATTTAGCTCTCTCATATTTCATTCTCTCTCAGCATTTTCTACTGTCATTGCTAGGTTTTCTACATATCTCCGCTTATCAGTTCTAATGCTTCTCTTCACTCTCTTGTATGCTTCTGTGTACTGAATATGTACCTTAGCTGTTTCTGTTCTTCTTCGATTGTTTTTGGTTGGTGTTTTTTTGTTCTTCCTTCTTGAATCTTGACCAGGGTATCAACAGAGATCCATTCCTTATGATGGTTCTACTTACGGCCCAGCTTCTCCTAGCATAATGAAGTAATTACTTCCTCAATGGCTTGATAATTGTTCTCTATTGTTGTGCCTCTTCTTTGAGTAAATTTTATAAGGCTTGGAACTTAGTGCTGAGAGCTATCCTGAATCTACTGAATTTATTCGTATGTTGAATGAAGGTTGTAATGCTGCTTATCCGACTATTCAACATTTCTTTAGCTTCAGTTTCGTCTTGGTCACCATCAGGTGACGATCTAAAGCTATACCAGCTCCAAACACGGTTCTAACTTCTTCCATGAACCATCTTAATTTTTATTGTTATCAACGTAATCAATCTGGTTCTCTGTAGTGTGGCCTGGTAAAAACAATGTGGCTTAATATGTAGGTTTGTGGAGGAAAATAGTACCACCTATAACGTGTCGTTTTAAGTACATATATCTTCCAACCTCCGACCATTCTCATCCTTTTTTCCAGTCACCATCGCTCCATAATGTTTTCAAATTCGGTGTTGCTCATACAGACCTAGAGAATCAGGTCCCCCACCAGGATGGCTAGATTTTTTACTGGTTATTTCTGTACAATGGACTGAAGCCTCTTATAAATCTGACATTTACCATCTCCTCTGTTTTCATTGTTGGGTGATATTTATTTTAATCTGTTGCCTCTGTTTTGAATGACACATTGATATGAGATTCCCATCCTATAAGCAATTTTTATGCCTTTTTGAAGATCGGTGCAACTCCTTGTGTGTGAGACATTTCCAGTTTGGGACGATGGGTCTCACTGATTTCAGGTACTACTACTTTGTATCTTTGTACTTTCGCTACCATTCGATTGGTTCGACTGGTCTACCACATTTTCCGAACAATCCAACCGCTTATATTAGTTATCGCTCTGGTTGTCAGACGGAGAAGAATCTTGACTATCACTATGTGGTGACATAAATCTTCTATATGTAGACCATTCAACCTACAAGAGAGGATTTAAATGGTCTAAATGATTTTCTATGGTTAGCATTTTGTAGCGAGATTCTTTTTCCAGGGATGGGGTTTCGAACACCACTTCCGACTCTCCTCCTTTTCTCAAGCTTGAAACCGAGAAGTAACTTCATAAGGGCTTCATTTGGGGTTGAAGAGTCTCATACTGTAATAAAATAAATGCCCAGTGATCCCAGGCTTTGGGTCATATCCAAGGCAGTTTTAATGTATTTCAAATACCATGTACTAATTTCGAAATTTTTACTTAATGAAATTTGGTAGTTTTCACATGATTTTCTGTTACCTTATAGATAATCTCACTTCGTCTGACGCCTCTAAGCGATTTTCTGCATGATTTTTCAAGACTTCTGACTTTATTTGTTCCAGTGACATTTCTTCAAACATCACTGCTGAGAAGTCTCATACTAGGACAAAGCAGCCGTCCGGTGCTTCCAGGCTTTCTATGGTGGAGATCGTTAAGTTTTTGATTGAGATCATGAATCGATTGATGTTAGATCACCATTGATAACCTAAACGCATCGGACGGTCGTTTCATTTTAGTATAAGACTCTTCAGCAGTAGGCATCCACGATCCCACACGTAAATCTCGAACCCAGGACCTTCGGCCTCGAGCGCGAACGATTAACCTCTAAACCATTGAGCCGACCGGCATCCAACGGTGTTAATGCCTAACTTCCATTGATCCATGAATGGCTGCGTGACCATTCACCCATTGTCTGACGTAGATACGTGTCTCTATCCGACATGGATTGGACTCCACAAGTCACCACTTCTCACTAGAACTCCAGGAAATCACCTTAGAAACCATCCAGTTATTCCAGGTTTTCAAAGGTTTTCAATCGATCCATGATTCTAAACAAAATACTGATCTCACAAAAATGATAGATGTCATGGTTTTGCAAACATATGCAGTATAAATGTAAATATAAGCTTTACTATATCAAATGTAATCGATATATTCCTTCTCCACACCATATATTGATAATGTTTGGTCTGACTTTATGAGTAAATCCATAAATGTTTTCATCGGATGACTTAACAAAAAAAACTAAAGTTTAACACTTTTATAGGTTGGTTGTGATGTTTCTTCAAGACGTTCAATGATAAATTGTTTACGATCTCGGACATCTACGGAAATATCAAATGCAGCAGCCAAAACAAGGATTCATCGACCTAATTGGTTAACAAAACCATGGGCCCCAACTTTAGATTATGATTTTATCATGAATACACCAAAATACTTATGGAATAATGGTCTTTATGCTCATATACCAGTAAGCGTTTATTTTTCAGTTGATTTGTCGTTAATGTGAAATTAAATATTATATAACTAATTGTTTAATTCATTGTAGAAGATAGTTCGATCATTCATTATATCATTAACTGTTATGATGTGTAAACTTTGGTGTTTGAAAGTCAAAGAGATAGAAAGAATATTTAATGTGAAACAAGGATTTGACACAATTTGTTAGAATGAATAAATAATACACAAAATCTCAATGGTTGAGATCACCAGTCAATTGAAGCTAGATCACCATGGAAAACCTGGAAGCACTGAACGGCCGTTTCGTCCTATTGAGGTCTAGTGGTTAAGCGCTCGCGCGCGAGACTGACAGGTCCTGGGTTAGAATTTTGCAAGGTGGAATCGTGGAGGCGCACTGATAAGGAGTTTCACACTAGAATGTAACGGCCGTCCAGTACTTCCAGGTTTTTCATGGTGATCTAGCTACAACTGACTCATAATCTCAACTATTGAAATTACTACAGTCTCCACAAAACCCCTTCTAATACACAAAAACAATTTGAAGATAATAGTATCAAGGGAGTAAGAAATTAACAGAAAATTTTCTACAGAAAACCTTTGATATCTGAAGAAAAGACTGAGATAAGTAAACAGAGTATTTGTAGTAGTTTTCCATTTCACGGTACTTTTGAGATTGTTGAAACTGAAGTTTCACATTATGAACTAAATTTGGTTAGATAATCACTGGGAATCATGAAATACGGGATAGTTATTTTTTTCCTTGTATGGAACTTCTCAATATATGCATCTGAGGCACATCAGAAATTAAATTTGTTGTTCTAATGTTCTCTCGGTGTGTCCTTACCCTTTTAACTACTGAGTTGCCATTTAAAGGCTTACATTTTTGACTTCAGTCACTTCATGGTGCTGGACAGCAATTATCTCATGATTGACATTGCTGAACTTTACTGGCTACAGATTCTCATCAGAGATTCGGGAATTTCCACTCAAACTCACTTACTAGTGAACTAATGACTATTATTTGTCCAGGTGAGCTATAAATTCAGCAATCAACACAACGTCCTATACAAAAAATAAATTATATGCTTACAAATGGCGAAATTCGAGTGGTAATTGCTGAATTTCTAGTGAAAAATCGTAACAAGAAAAGTTCGACGACTTTGCAATTGAAGTAGTTACCCACCAACGACAATGGGTTATTTCCGAATGAAATCCTGAAGTTAGAAATGTAAACTTTTGAATTCCAACTCAGTAGTCTGAAGCTTAAGAGATTACCAAGAGGCCTTTAGATTCTAAGTTTGATTTCCTATGGGATCTCATACTAAAACAGAACAACTACCCATTACTAATGATTATTTAACCAAATCCTGTTAATGATGGAAAATTCATATTTTGGTTAGTCATATGATTTAACTTGTTAGGTTGAAGGTAGTCGGTAAGAAACTCTGCTTGATCTAAATTTTATGCTAGTTTGCACTCAGCAACAAAGCACTGGTACAATATCGATGGGGCTGATGATCTATATAGAATTCTCTCTTTGATTTTCCAGCTTCACATCCTGGAGTATTCGGGATACGAATGACATCTTGTTGGGATGTAATACTCAAGTTGGTTGACCACTGATTGGTGATCAATGTTATGTTTGTCCAGTGTTAGAGGACGTAATGTCTAGTCACTTATATTGTGGTATGTGCTACTGATGTCGACAGATGTAAGTAGTATGTATCATCAGTCGAAAGTGAAACACCTGGCAGCAGAAGGTTGATAAGGAAAGAGAACGATAACAGACAATGATTACTGTGAAAATGAAGGAACAGTCAAGTTTGAGACAACTGATTGACATTTTGAAAATTAAATATTTACTGCATGGTTCTCAGATTTTACTAAGACGTTTTGTAATTTTCTGTTCAAATACATTCGACCGTCCCCATTTGTGTTCTCGTTCACTACAATACTAATGTTCACATAATAGGGTCCATTTAACATCAAGGACTAGAAAAAAAGGAGATTTGCCACTATTCAGTGATCAGTTAGTTATATCTAAATTTAAATAATTATTAGAAAGTTCTATGCCTTACCAGTAACCCATTATTTTGTATCTTTTTAAGATAGTCTCTTTAGAATAAAGCTAACATTTTCCCGCCGATATCTTTCATTTTTTTCTAGCTTATTGGTGGCCTGGTTGTAGATGATGGTGTTTTTCATGCATTAGCATCAATTTATCGTTTGGATGTTCCACTTACTTGGAATTTAATAAACAGTACACAAGATAGCGCTTTCGATTCCCACGAATTATTGAATCCAAATACTGAATTTTCTGGTATGTCAATTGATTTAATGCGTTCAGGTTTCATGGAAATGGTGAAAAATGATTTTGCACTGGTAAGTTAAATAGTTCATTACCTAATGCTTCGATTATTTAAAAGATGATTGTTAAGGTGATTTTATTTCATTCACATAGTGAAGAGAACATCAACAACACGATTCGTAGAATAATCATGCGTTTTAATTATCATAAGTTTACTATTTGTTAGGAATTCAGTAGTATAAAATCACCAATAAAAATATTAAACCCATGGGGACCACGAGTTGTGGAAAACTTGAGCATTAAGTCTGTTTTGATTAAATTTTAATGCTCTTGAATAATAACCATAGAAAAAGTTGTATCTTCCATGAAAAAAGTGCTAGAAATCTAAGGAGTCCCTCCCCTATTTACACTTGGAGAATATTTTCAATTTTTACCGAATTTGTAAAGATCATCTTTAATCCTGCCATCCAGTTTTTAACTAACGATTGAGAATGGCACTGTTTCATTTTTAAATATAAGGTTAACCAACACTGAACTCATTATTAAACATTGTATAGGTGGAGTTATGGAGATTTTATCATGAATCTACAACTTATGATGTATTTTTTTAATCATGATTTAATAATTTTGAATTATCTAATTATTGATATTCCTAAAGGAGTTTGGTCATTCTGTGTTGGGATATGTGCATTCTTTGTACATTGCTTCATCACAAAGATCTTTCCACAATTTTTATAATATAGGTGGGTTGTTGCTAGCAGTGGTATCCACTAAACCCAATTCGTTCTTTCTAGGATTCCATTGGATGTATTCGCATCTCAGTGTGATGATGATCACACTAAGATTCAAACCCATTACCTTTTACCGCAAACGCCTAACTCGTCAGCGAGTGGTACACGGAGTTCAGATAATATCTAACATATTTAATGAATACGATATTAATATTGTTAATAGTAAGGGTTTGTATTTTCCCAATGTTGAAATTCAAACTTGAATTTTGATTAGCTATCTGAAATCAGCGACTCAGTGAACAACGCATTGACATTAGAAGTGGAAGATAAAAAGTTCGATTCTTAATTTGGACAATAACGTTGAATATAGATCCATTCAGCTGTTAAGTTTCTTAAGAACAACTTATCTCTTAAGTGCGTAATTTCACGAGACTGTTATATCAATGATTTACTGATTACAGAATGAGCTTTATTTTTACCATAATATTAGTTATGACAACTTCACATCAAATATGGAACCTGAAATCAAACGAACTACTTGCATTTTCATAAAATATGATATTAGATCCTATTAGAGGATCATATTTGTATGGGAATATTATGTATAGTTTCATTTTGATCCACTTTCTGAAATTGTAATTCAAAGCATATAATGAAAAAATTTGTCATAACTTTGATTGAATATCACTGTATTGTTGATTCGTCTATCTACTGTGTTTTCTTTAATAAATCAAGTTTTTTGTCTATGGTATATACACAATATTCTCATTATTGTTTGCGTCTTTTGAACATCTAATTGAATCCAATTCAAAAGGAATAAGGATAGATATACATAAATGCTCCTTTTTCTCTTTGATCTTGTTTCATTGTTCGATTCAGATAATAATATCCCCTCTTTCAGGTATACATAATTCTAACTGTCGATTAATTTAGAGAGAATAAGAATAAAGATTTGAGTAGTACAACATGAATTGTTTTTGTTTTTGGTTAAATCCTTGTTGGCTACTTCCTAAAATACACCAAGACTGAACTCATATCATTATTTCATTGTTCATATCCAGGACTACAATCGATCAGTCCCTATTGGTATGTATACATTTTGAATGGATAACTACAACACAGTGCATTCATTATGTTATCGCTAATCGAACCTAGTATATTTGTACTTCTACATATAGAGGATAAGAGTATTACTTAAATCAATCAACTATTTATTATAAGTGACCATATGATGACTGTAAAATTGATTACTACATACAACCACGTAATTTATTCACAAAAATATTTTAGAAGAAAAAAATAGACATTTATCATTATCATGGAATGTACAACTTAGATAATGAATAAACTTCTATGTTACACAGTCATGAATATAAATTATTGTTTATACTTAAGCAATTCAAATATTCAATACTTAAATAAATGATAAAATTATAAGCAAAAGATGAATAGTGGCTAGAAGTGAAATTCAGGACAAGCGTTTTGTTCTAGTTGAGATTCATCAGCTAAATGTACTTGCATTTCAGAGTTGATGTTCACTTTGGCACTACGCACAATATGAACATATACCAATAAGAGATTGATCGATTTTAGTCCTAAACATTAATGGAAAGTTTCAAGTAAACAATACCAATTGAATTTAAAATTTTATTCTATTGCACAAGCTTGTGGCTATCAGGACTCAGTAGCTAAATGGGTAACGTGATGGCGTTTGGAGAGAACAATACTGGGTTCGAATCTCAGAGTGGACATCAAATGTGAGATGCAGGTACATCCAGCTGACGAGTCCCAAATTAGATGAAACGCGCGTCCTGGACTCCACTTCTGGCCACTATCCATCTATGCTTATAATGCCTATGAATTAAGGCAATATCGAGGCAATACGCACGGTATGCACATATGTCAGTAAGAGGCTGATCAATTACAGTCCTAATAATCTATTAGAAGATTCAAGTAAACGACACCATGGGAATTTGAATAATAAAATTTTTTCTGTATACAGGTGCATACTTCAGTGATTCTTTGAATGAATTTCCATATAGTACTGATATATCGATTGATATAACTTGTAAGCCTCGTGCCCCTATCAGTATATGAAGTAATGACATCGCCAATTAGAAAACAGTGATTTATCGACCAGATCAATGTCATGTAAACCCGTACGAACAGTTTACAGTTCTTATCGGTTCTTCTTTCTACATACATCTGCCTGTTACAGTCCACAACACCAATCTCAGCCTCCATGATATGAATCATGTATTTCAAACATACTGGATTTATATACAAACTAAACAGAGCACACACACCATAAAATAGAAAATAACATTTGTACAATATCTAGCCAAAAGTGACTGTGAATGTGGAAGACTGTAATTAATAGACCGGGCATAACTTAAGAATGGTAAATCATATAATAATATTCTATAAGTCAAAATAAAGCTTACAATAGGAGTAATATGAGTTTGCATAGTATAGTTACTTAACAATTATACAATAAAAAGATATGCATCGTAATTGTCCATAAATAGATTCCACAGTTACCATTGATTATTCTCATCGGGATATAACACCAATGAAAATAGATCTCTTGATGAACAATTTTGTTAGACATGAACAGTAAAAGATTATTTAGCATAAATAAAGTTCATTTCATGTTGCTTATTTTCAATTTCTCAATAATTTTGGTTACTATCAACATGTATAAAATACAATTTTATAAGTATTATTGATTGTTTGTTCTGAAAGTCGTTTGGTTTGGTTGTGAAACTTTCATTGTCCTTCCTGGACAAAACTATCAGAATATACATCAAAGAGAAATGAGGTGTTAAAATCGATTAGTAGTTTGTTCTATTAACCTCGAGTCTACTCATTTGTTATCCATAAATGCATATGGACAAATACGAATATGAGTTCGACTGAAAATTAAGAGAAAGCCAGAGAATTTTTAGAATTATAACACTCTGGAACTCAAAACAACTGTTAACCAACACCAAGGTCAGGATTTTCAATACAAATGTCAAGACAGTTCTACTGTATGGGGTGGAAACCTGGAGGACTAACAAAGCCATCATCCAGAAGATACAGATGTTTATTAACAGTCGTCTAAGCAAAATACTTCCGATCCGTTGGTCAGACACAGCAGCAACAACCTACTATCGGAGGGAACAAGACAGATCCCGGTGGAGGAAGAGACCAGGAAGAAGCGCTGGAAGTGGATAGGACACACATTGTGGAAATCACCCAACTGTGTCACAAGACAAGCCCTCACATGGAATCCTCAAGGCCAAATGAGGAGAGGAAGACCAAAGAACACATCACGTTGAGAAATAGAGATGTACATGAGAAAAATGAACAAGAATTGGATGGAACTAGAAAAGAAGGCGGAGGACAGACTGGGTTGGAGAATGCTGGTTGGTGGCCTATGCTCCGTAGGGAGTAACAGGCGAACGTAAGTAAGTAAGTAATCAAACATTAATCAATAGACGCAATCGATATGGTAATAAGCAAAAAGATAAATAACCGCAAAGTCAGAGTCCAAATTAGGAATGAAAAACAATTAAAATGAAAATGCAAACAACGGCCACACAATAACATACAAAAACTGACCAAATTTCCGATTTACAAAGCATACTATTAGACAATTATGGAAAGATTCTAATAACACACTTCCATTTAAAGTACATGCTGATGATATTGTCCGGATGGAAAATGAAAATTTTACATATAAATTATCCAACTCAGAGAACATAACATCTGTAATATATTACAGTTTTTATCTGTATCAACTTAGGTTAGGTTGGATACATAAAATCTCTAATATATTACAGTTTTTATCTGTATTAACCTAGTTTAAGATGGATACATATTGTTATTTGTATTAAGAACAATAGTGCAGCTGTCTCATTTGTACTTTGAAACTTTGCACCATAGCACACTCACCGTCGTAACTATGAAAGACAAATTATCACTATCCATGTGAAGTAAATGAAACACATCCACTATGACATGTACAACATTTGGAGTGAATAGTTTTACCAGCTTATATATATCACTACAAAGTATGAGATAGATAATATTAGTCACTACTCAGTAGTCAACCAATTGTAAACATTTCAGTCTGACAGTTAATCAGTAGTTGTCTGGATAACTCAATAATAGCATCTCAAACTATGAACCTGGGTGTTTTGGATAGTACCTTATAGGGAGCACCAGTTTCCTCAACTTTACAGGTACATCTTATAAATGAGTGCTAACTAGCACTAAACCCGAGTCAGTGGTTTTCTGTCGACTACTTCCAATCACTTAACATATGAAGTTCATAATGAAAATACTTCCGACTAAATAAAGAATCTAAGCAAATACTAATCTTCCCTTAAAATATTACCAGTTTTTTAACATAATTAGTGTGATTTTAAATATAAAGAGACGGATTATAAACTTTGAGAATCTCATAGCGCTTAGTGGCTTTGGAATATCTGACTCCAATTTGGATCGTGTGATTATCGTTATTGGCTAATACATATAATCGATCCTCATAAATAATCGTCGACTTAAATCACGTTAGTGAATAACAGAATTAAATCATTCAAATACGAGAATGAGGTTTGAATACGTTTATTTCGTACACTCATTGACCTGGATAGAAAATCAGAGGAACGAAGAAAAGGAAGTGGAGAGAAGAGAGCGAAGCTAAATGATGCGCGATGGACAAGGCATGTAAGATAACTCGTTTTTATCAGGTGTGACTCAATATTAATAGAGAGACAAAAATAAGTTACAGACATGTGATGAATACGATAAGAAATACACACACACACACGCTCACATAAAAACAGTTAATGTTGATAAGCGAATAAGTAACAAGATCAAAATGTGGTTTAAGAAGAATGAAAAGATTGATCTGTTTAGAAACTAGAATACTACAAGCCCACCGAAACTAACCATATACATTTAAGTTTGTTGCTTTTTTACAGCGATAAATTCTTGATTTGGAAAGTCTGTTTTTTCCACATTCACTAATAATTTTCAACGTCATAACTGTCTTCGACCAAGATCGGTAGAGTTTCAGTGAAAAGTTTTGTATAGTAAATCACTTATATAATATCCAGCATTATTATTATTATTATTATTATTATTATTATTATTATTATTATCAGTGTAACGCATGCTTCCATTCTAAATGTTCCACTTATATAGGATCCTGTTGGTATTACAAATTCATTACTTTTTCAATATACATACTGGCCGGATAAAGAAAATGCATTTTCACGATGGGAAATGTATCGTTCTGCTTGGACAGATCGTTTCATAGGTTCTGGACTAATTCAAACACTTCAATATCATTCAAACCCAAAATTTGCTAAAAAGAAATTAGAATCAATAACCAATCAATCTTTACCAATTAATCATACTCAAATGTATATTTTTGGTTATAAATCAAAGAATGATTTATGGAGTAAAATTATTGGTGTTTATCCTGGTTCAGAATTACAATATATATTTGGATTACCTTTATTACAATTATATAAGACAATGGAAGAAATAAATGAACAATGGCCAATTGATTTAAGTATTAAACCACCACGTTATCAATATACCAATCTTGATATTCAAATAAGTAGTTATATGTTATCATTTATATTGAATTTTGCAAAAACTTCAAATGCTACACCACAATCAATTCGTAATTTAACATGGGATACTTATCGTATTGAAAATAGAACATATTTATGGTTAAATTTAATTGATAATATTACATTATCGGAAAGTCATCGTCCAAATTTAGAATTAAAAGGAATTGGTGCTGATTTTGATTTAAGACAAAATTATCGATTAAATACATATTTATATTGGACTTATTTTTATTATAAACAACTTCAATGGTTACCAAGATATCCATTACCAACACCGATACCAATTGATTTAGAAGATTATCGTTTAGCTGCATTTTCTTTAGCTGGTTTATTGTTTATTCTATGTATTATTATTATGTTATTATTAATTGTATATTGTAGAAGAAGAAAATTGTTAATATCTTAAATTTATTTCATTGTTTTATTAGCGAGACTATAATTTATGGACGAACCAATCAAGTATAAGATAATAGGTCTCGGATTTCGGCGCGAAATTGATTCATCCATTTGGATAAATAGCGTCTTGATATTTGTTATATACGGTCGTCGTTGATTGCTGTGCCGGAAAAAACGCTGATCACTTACTTATACTCGGAACGAGGGACCACGGTAATTCCCACGATGCGAAAGTAAGAACACAAAGACTGGTATAAGTGAAGATTTATTATCCCCAAAACACTATGACGACGACGAATCATCGTAGTCTAAAATACACTGGTTTATATATTGACTGTACGCCCATTTTGATTAATAATTAGGATTAGATCACATACTCAGTTATAACAAATCACTTAATGAGCATAGTTCATGTCAAGTGAATACAAGAATATCGTATATTATACAGAATAAAATATCATACTGGGAAAACAAACCGAATACTACACTGAATGATCAACACGTTGAATCAAAACGGATGTTGAATGTTGAATAAAACTGATAATGAGCAATTCAATCGAAAATTGACTTTTTTCCCATCATATCAGCATTATAGCTGATGTCAGTTCGTGATGTGAAAACCCTAAATCTAATTCCTAACTTTAATCATCAACTTTAAATCATAATTCTAATTCCTCATATTGGTTTATAACCGTCATTTGATCCTAGATATTAGATGGACACTGTCAAGGTCAGTCTAGCATCTCTCAAAGGTCGTCCATAAATTATAGTCTCACTGTTTTATTCATGAGCTTTGATGAAAATAAAGATTTGTAATACAGAGAAATGATTTTAGTGAGTCGTGTTCTTTAATTTCAAGGAAGCTGTAGTCGGCATTCTCAATAAAATTATCAAAATGGACTTTTGATAAAAAATGAGCTATAAGAATATCCTCACAATTTGTTATCGGATTGTTCTATCAACCTTGAATTTGATTGGTTGTTGTTGTTGTCGTTGTTGACATTACCCTAAGATGATAGAACAGAAACTAATCAAATTTAAATAAAGGCAGAATAAACTGTTATTCATTCACTTTTATTCGAAGTTTGTGCTTATCTTATTGTTTAAAGTGACAATGAAAGCTTCATGACTAAACCATTCAGATGAAATAACTTAATTCTAACGAAATTGTTGTGACTTTATGTCCGGCTAGTTATCACGTGATCTATTCATCAATCAAAATACGACTTATACAATCTTAGCACTGTGCCAAACCAATGATGTTCGACAGGTATGGGCAGCCTAGTGTCCTTATTGGTCCTATGTTCGCCTAGCCCGTCTACTTGAGTCCAGAACACAATACCAGGTTCGACTATGCAAATCATATATTTCAAACATACTGTGTTTATATATCAAACAAACAGGCCACAACGCACCATAAAATAGAAAATAACATTTGTACACAATGAAGCCGAAAAGTGGCTGTGTACGTGAGAGGTAGTAGTTAATAAACTGAGCATAATTTAGGGACAGTAAATCGTATAATAATAAATTATAGTTCAAAATGAAGCTCATAATAAGAGGAATATAAATATGCATAACCTAATTATTGAATAGTTATACCATAAGGATGTATAGATAATATTAGTCCACTAATATGTCTCAGAAGTTACTCGTGGTTTAATCTATGCTCGGATATAACAGAAATAATGAGACATTTCATAAAACCTGATATAAGATATAAACATAGATTAAAACGTCCACGCTGGAGTTCACTACAAGGCACATAATGAATGTACTAGAATTACTATTTGTTTTTCTTAGTTACAAGTAAATATTTATCAATATTACAAGTAATACTTAAGTAATCTGTTTAAACATTACTCAAAATGAGGTTAGAGAAACTATATTTTGCATGAATTAAATAGAATCAATCTTTTGTGACGAAAAGCATATTTTTTAATTAAGATCATGAACCGATTGATGTTAAACCACCATTAAAAACCTGGGAGCACTGGACGACCATTTCATCCTATTGTGGCACTCCTGAGCAGTGCACATCCACGTGCCCCCTCCCGCGGAATTCGAACCCAGAGGCTTCTGTCTCGCGCGCGTACGCTTAACCTCTAGACCATTGAGCCGGCATCCAGTGGTGTTAATGTCTAAACTCAACCAATCCATGAAATTTCACGACCATCTTCCATTGCACTGAGGTTGATACCTGTCTCTCCCCGACATAGATTAGCTCCACTGGTCACAGCTACATATTAAAATTCCCTCACAAAGCTAGCCACTAGTGAGCACATGGTAATTATCAGTATGAAGTTGTGAAGATTATTACGTTTTTGATTGAGATCATAAACCGATCAATGTTAAACCACCATTGAAAATCTGAAAACACTTGACAGCCGTTTCGTCTTAGTGATCTAACATCAATTGGTTCATAATCTCAATTTAACTAAATCAACTAAACATACTACTTACAATTGAATATGTTTTTAACCTCTATACATGTTCAGTAGTTATTTATGGGTATATTTTATTATGAAATAAAATATTTATCAAAGAAATCAATTTTATATAATTTCAGTTTAAATATTTTCTAATGTAAACTTTGTATATAACCTGGTTGGTTACATGACTGGAAAATTATTCAACCATAAAGAATAAAAATATCGATTTATTCAATTTATTACATAACATTTACGTTATTCATTTACCTAATGATATAAGATAAACGGTTACTATTGATACGTCTCATAGAGTAATATAGTAGTATTCAATTTTCTTTTGTTGTTATTCTTGTTAGTAGAAGTAGAAATTCAATATAATCATTATAATTTAGTTACCTAACCTTATAAATTGACGTCAATGCTGTCAATTGACGTCAAGTGCTTCCAGGTTTTCCATGGTGGTCTAACTTCAATTGACTCATGATTTCAATCTGTGAAATTTCTAATATCTCCACAAACCCCTTCTGATAATAATCAACATATGCTCACTAGTAACTGACTTCAAGAGATACTCCTGGAGTTCTAGTGAGAAGCCGTTACCAGTGGAGTTCAACTGGGTCTGTTGTGAGATATCAACTCACTGAAGACAATGGTGTACGGTGGCGCAACTTCGTGGATTAGTTGAAGTTAGACATTAACACCGTTGGATGAAGGTCAGCTCGGTGGTCTAGTGGTTAAGTGCTCGCGCGCGAGACCAGCAGGTCCTGGGGTTCGAATCCCGCGGGATGCGGGATCGTGGATGCGCACTGGTGAGGAGTCCCATACTAGGACGAAACGGCCGTCCAGTGCTTGCAGGTGTTCCATGGTGGTCTAGCTTCAATTGATTCATGATTTCAGTCTGTGACATTGAGAACTAGAGAGTGAATTAGATAGTTTGTTAAATCTAATTCGAAACTTTCAAATCATGTATATATATACTACATTAAGATGAAATCAATGCTTTACAAACATTGTAGGAAATGCAATACCTTTGAATGATTGAATAAGAGTTGAAAAGCTGATATTTTACATAATGTGATTTATTCTACTAATGGAACTATTAAATAACATTGATGATGTTTTCAAGATTTCAAGTGGACTTGTTAGTGTAGAATTGTTAGTAGTTCAGAACTAAACTATGCATATTCATATTCCTCCTATTATAAGCTTTATTTTGACCCATAAACTATTATTATACGTTTCACCATTCTTTAGTTATACCAAGTATATTAATTATTACCTCCCTCATTCACAGCCACATCTGGCTAATTCTTGTACAAATGTTGTTTCATATTTTATTGGTACGTTGTGGTCTGTTTGTTTGGTATATAAACTCAGTATGCTTGAAATACAATGATTCATATTGCAGAGGCTGAGATTGGTGTTCTGGACTTAACTGGCTGGGCTAGGTCGAAAGCAGGATCAATCAGGACTCTAGGCTGTTCGCACGTGTTTTACGCGTTCATGGTCCGATCGATAATTCACTGCTTTCTAATCGGCGAACACAAGTTATAACCAATATTTATCGATTGCTCTTTGATATTCAGTAGTTTTCCATCTGATATCAATCAGGATAATGTTGATAAACTTATTTTAAAAGTGAAAAAGTATTGAAATGAAATGCTTGGGATAACTATGTTTTCAGTTGTCACTATAACTCTTGATAGTAAGTTCTTGATTCATGAATTGAATCTTTAAGAAAGCTTAATAGATTAGAGGTTCTCTAGTTGTATATCATAATATTTTGAATAAGTTTATAATCTCTGATTTATTAATTTTTTCGACTAACTTATGACGTTTGGTACTTTTCAGTCATTAATCAAGATACTTACTTTAAATATATAGTTACACTCAAGAGAAAAGTAGCTTGGAGATTTTACTTGTAACGACGTCACTGATGATATTTTCATACAATATTTATCAAGAGTTTGAAAATTAATCAATTGGAAACATTTGTTTTATTGAATTATATTCTGTCTCCGCGTTTACGGCATACAGATTGTCAAATTATATATGTCTTTAAGGATATGAGCTACTCTTAAAATTTGTAGAGACATTTCACAAATATGGTACCAACTAACTAAAGTCACATTCCATTAAGTATGGAACTTTTATTACTCATAGCCTCGTGTCCTATTAATATATAACGTAATGATATCGCCAATTAGAGAACAGTGATTTATCGACAAGATCAATGACGCGTATACCCGTATGAATAGTTTACAGTCATTATCGGTTCTTCTTTCTACACACATCTGCCTGTTACAGTCCAGAACACCAATCTCAACCTCTATGATATGAATCATGTATTTCAAACATACTGGATTTGTATACAAGCTAAACAGAGTACATCACACCACAAAATAGAAAATAAAATTTGTACAGTATCTAGCCAAAAGTGACTGTGAATGTGGAAGACTGTAATTAGTAGACTGCGCATAACTTAAGAACGGTAAATCGTATAGTAATAGTTCATAGGTCAAAATAAAGCTCATAATAAGAGGGATACGAATATGAATAGTTTAGTTACTTAACAATT